ATTCTAATCAAAGCTGTGGTGCAAGCAATTCCATCCTATGCCATGTCGGTTATTTTATTTCCTAAAGGTTTTTGTGACAAGCTGGATAAGTATGTTAGGTCCTTTTGGTGGGGTGATGGTAGGGAAAAGTGTGGTATTCATTGGAAAAAATGGGAGCTGATGGTGGACTTAAAGATGAGAGGGGCTATGGGTTTTAGGGATTTTCATTGCTTTAATCAAGCTCTTTTGGCGAAGCAGGGTTGGAGAATTCTTCACCAGCCTAATTCCTTTTGGGTAAAATTTCTGAAGTCAGTCTACTTCCCTGATTGTGATTTTATGGTGGCAAAGAAGGGGGGGTAGGCCTTCTTGGTTTTGGAGTAGTTTACTAAAGGGAAGGGAGCTATGGGGGAATGGGCTGTTATGACAAGTTTTGGATGGAAACAAGATAAATATTTGGGATGATAAATGGGTTCCTCTCCTTCCACAGGCAGCTATTTCCACCGTTAGGTCCCAACCATGAGTTATTGAACGAGTAAACCAACTCATCTCTCATCCTTTCAAAGTCTGGAACACTGACTTACTGTCCTCCTTGTTTAATGTTGCCGATTGCAAGGCCATCTTTTCCATCCCCATTTCTAAGTTAAGTGCCAGTGATAGAAGGATTTGGCAACCTTGTTCAACCGGTGCATTCTCTATAAAGTCANAACACTGACTTACTGTCCTCCTTGTTTAATGTTGCCGATTGCAAGGCCATCTTTTCCATCCCCATTTCGAAGTTAAGTGGCAGTGATAGAAGGATTTGGCAACCTTGTTCAACCGGTGCATTCTCTATAAAGTAAGGTTATTTTTTGGCAACCACTCTCAAATCCTCATGCATTTTGGAAGCTAGCTCTTCATTTTCTCCTCACCCGAAGCTTTGGCATGTTTTATAGCATATGGAGGCTCCCTCGAAAGTTCGACATTTCTGGTGGAAGGTATGTAACAATGCACTGGCCTCTCAGGAAAACCTGTTTAAAAGGAGATGTGCAGATTCTCCTTGGTGCCAAATTTGCAAAGGCAAGGTGGAGTCAATTGAACACCTTCTATTTGGATGGGAATGGACAAGAAAAGTCTGGTTTGGCTCGGACCTTGGTTTCAGATTCGTAGAGGATTTGAATGTGTCTACTATTTTTTGGTGTTTGTCTCTCCTGGGGGCCATCAACAACACTGTCCTGTCCATTGAGATTATGGGCAAAGTCGCAATGATAGCGTGGAATATTTGGAAGGGCCAAAACCAACTGGTGTTTAACCAAGAAGCTCCGGATGCATTCTCCACTCTTATCAAAGCCAACCCTGTCGTGGAACGAAGTGGTGTCCGTGTATAAAGGTTCTGCTGGCGGCCAATTGTCTTCTTTCAGGTTTGTTCCTTCTCCTTCTGAGCGGTTTAATGGTCCTCACATTAGTTGTGATGGAGCTTTCAAGGAGCGGCGTGCTGCTATAGGTGTTATTTTGAGGGATACAAATAACTGCCTTTTGGATGGAATTAGAAAGTGTATCCTGCTGTTTCGAGTATTTTTGTGGAGGAGGTTGCTGTCAGAGAGGCTTGCTCACTTGCAAGTGCTTCTCACCTTCAATTTTGCACAATTGAGTGTGATAATCTGGAGGTTATCAAGCTTAGCTCAATCGAGGGAGTTCTGCCTTGGGAGATAAGTATTTTTATGGAAGATATCAGATCATATACTCGATACCTAGATCTTAGGTTTTTACACAAGTCATGAGCCCTTAACGGGGCAGCTCATTGGGTGGCAGCTTTGACACTTTCCAATTCTCTTCTTGTGAATTGGGTCAGCTGTCCCCCATTAGAGTTTCAAGTTTTTTTTGCATTTGATTGTAACTAAGTTTTTCCTACTTTTCGTACTTGAATGAACTTTGTTATATTTCAGACCAAAAAAAAAAAAATTAAAACCAACTTCTAAATGTGGAAGATGCGGCAAAGGACAAAATAGAAACTATATCAGAAAAATCCTATATTGGACAAAATGTTATTATTTCTAGAAGCCCATGTCATACATTGGGCAAAAAATCTTTCAATGTCCAAATATTCTCAAATCTATTATAAATGCAATGAAAGAGTGTAACATATGGTAATTCAATACACTGACCCTTAGAAAAACCTTGTTATTTATATTCTTTTTTTTTTCAAGCAATATACACCAAAGGAGCAAAAATCTCACTTAGACACTGAATACTTTTGCTCTTCAATAGGATGAATCACTTTAATTTTTGTATTTTTTTTTTCAAATTGACCGCCTATCGCACTTAATTAACAACTCATCCAACACTATGTTTTTTGGGTTTTTACACCATAAAATGTTATTTAAATTTTTTTAGAAAAAGGAAATCCATAAAAAAAAAAGATTTTTTTTCTTGAATATGCTAGTTTTGGCGTAAATGGTCTATTTTTCACTGAATCAAGAAAGAGATTAATTGGAGTTGATGAGCTAAATCCAAGGGCCCGACTCAGGTTACAAGCCCAAGGGCCCAACACCAATAAGTCCAATTAATCAAGCCTAAAGGAGTTTGCAGCTGGACAAACTAATCAAGGTCAAGGAGCTACATCAGTAGGGGACATGCAAGGGTCATCAAGAGTCNAATTCTCTTCTTGTGAATTGGGTCAGCTGTCCCCCATTAGAGTTTCAAGTTTTTTTTGCATTTGATTGTAACTAAGATTTTCCTACTTGAATGAACTTTGTTATATTTCAGACCAAAAAAAAAAAAAAATTAACACCAACTTCTAAATATGGAAGATGCGGCAAAGGACAAAATAGAAACTATATCAGAAAAATCCTATATTGGACAAAATGTTATTATTTCTAGAAGCCCATGTCATACATTGGGCAAAAAATCTTTCAATGTCCAAATATTCTCAAATCTATTATAAATGCAATGAAAGAGTGTAACATATGGTAATTCAATACACTGACCCTTAGAAAAACCTTGTTATGTATATTCTTTTTTTTTTCAAGCAATATACACCAAAGGAGCAAAAATCTCACTTAGACACTGAATACTTTTGCTCTTCAATAGGATGAATCACTTTAATTTTTGTATTTTTTTTTTCAAATTGACCGCCTATCGCACTTAATTAACAACTCATCCAACACTATGTTTTTTGGGTTTTTACACCATAAAATGTTATTTAAATTTTTTTAGAAAAAGGAAATCCATAAAAAAAAAAGATTTTTTTTCTTGAATATGCTAGTTTTGGCGTAAATAGTCTATTTTTCACTGAATCAAGAAAGAGATTAATTGGAGTTGATGAGCTAAATCCAAGGGCCCGACTCAGGTTACAAGCCCAAGGGCCCAACACCAATAAGTCCAATTAATCAAGCCTAAAGGAGTTTGCAGCTGGACAAACTAATCAAGGTCAAGGAGCTACATCAGTAGGGGACATGCAAGGGTCATCAAGAGTCTCCTCTACCACCTTAGAGTAAGGATCGTCAAGAGCCTCCTCTACCACCTTGGAGTAAGGGTCACCAGGAGGCTCCCCTTCACTTCCTTGAAAAAATTCAACCCTCACCTCATCCTTTGACCGAGTCACATGGAGAGCACCTCACCATCTCGCCCGTTAAGAAAAAATTTTCAGTTCCACCAGAATAGTTATTTAGTTGTTATTAAGTTGTCTCAATCTGTTAAGAGACGACTATAAATTATAAACCTCACCAACACTTAGGGGCAGAAGATCACACTCAGTTGAGCACAACTCTCTCCTCTCCCTTATATTCTTTACTTCCTATACTCTTGAGCTAATAAAGTACCAGACGACCAAGGTCATTTAAAAGTGAATATAGATCACGTTGATCGAACCACTATAAATCTTATATTCNTATCGCACTTAATTAACAACTCATCCAACACTATGTTTTTTGGGTTTTTACACCATAAAATGTTATTTAAATTTTTTTAGAAAAAGGAAATCCATAAAAAAAAAAGATTTTTTTTCTTGAATATGCTAGTTTTGGCGTAAATAGTCTATTTTTCACTGAATCAAGAAAGAGATTAATTGGAGTTGATGAGCTAAATCCAAGGGCCCGACTCAGGTTACAAGCCCAAGGGCCCAACACCAATAGGTCCAATTAATCAAGCTTAAAGGAGTTTGCACCTGGACAAGCTAATCAAGGTCAAGGAGCTACATCAGTAGGGGACATGCAAGGGTCATCAAGAGCCTCCTCTACCACCTTAGAGTAAGGATCGTCAAGAGCCTCCTCTACCACCTTGGAGTAAGGGTCACCAGGAGGCTCCCCTTCACTTCTTTGGAAAGAGTCAACCCTCACCTCATCCTTTGACCGAGTCACATGGAGAGCACCTCACCATCTCGCTCGTTAAGAAAAATTTTTCAGTTCCACCAGAATAGTTATTTAGTTGTTATTAAGTTGCCCCAATCTGTTAAGAGAAGACTATAAATTATAAACCTCACCAACACTTGGGGGCAGAAGATCACACTCGGTTGAGCACAACTCTCTCCTCTCCCTTATATTCTTTACTTCCTATACTCTTGAGCTAATAAAGTACCAGACGATCAAGGCCATTTAAAAGTGAACATAGATCACGTTGATCGAACCATTATAAATCTTATATACTCCAACTCTTTTTATTTTTAATTACTGCAATTATTTGATAGGTGGTGTGCAGGATCATTTTAATATTTTATGCATCATTAGTAATATACGTAACCTAATCCGAACACTTTACCGTTTAAAAAAATAAAAAAGAAAATCTAGAAAAAGTACTTAACTTTGAAAATTGAAAGGATGCGAATCCATTGGTATCAGAATTGTACCAGTTTTTTTTTTTTTTGACGAGACAGAATTGTACCAGTTCAGTCCACTGGCTTTAACTGAAACAGTGAACACTGCTTCCGTGAAACGGACGCGCTATAAATGCGAGTATAGTTTGGTCCACATCAGAATGCGGGAATCACTTTTTAGTTTTTACATTATTGTATGTACGTTTATGTCGTCTTCCTCTGCTCATCAAACCCAAGGTGTGAGAGAGAGAGAGAGAGAGAGAGGCAGTCGTCACGCACTTCCTGTTTGACTCTCTTCCTCGATCAAACCCTAATCTCCCTAATTCTCCTCATTTTTTGCCCCAGAATTTTCTCCTCTCGTGTTATCACGATCCACATTTGCCAGAAAAATCTGGTAATTTATCTAATTTAGGTAAGTTCTTTCTCCCTCCTTTCTATACAATGCATGTGAATTTATGGACGGTCATGTATGATGAAGTGATTTTGATTTGTTGTTCAGATTTTAATTTTTGGTGATTGTTTTGCTTTTTTGAGGTGATTTGTTCGATGCATGGTTGTGTTTCAGTTAGTTATTTATGTGATGTCATTGTGAGTGTTTGATTTGGGCTTTTACTTTGTTTTGTTGCTGAGAAAATGGATAAAAAGGAGAGAAATTGAGTTTGAATTTGTCGAGTTGTTGAATAGGCTCACCTGAGTTCAGATTTTTGGTAAATGTGAGTGGGACTCTAATTGATTTCAGTCTGCTTACCTGGGGAGTGTTTGTTCTCCCACTTTAAGAGTTTGAGATTCATTAGTTGCGGAGGCATGGAATTTAAACATTCAGTAGTCTATTATAACCTGATTTACACGTACTTTTCTATGGAAAATAAAAATTAGAAAGTGGGTACCTTTGTTCTTTTCCGGACAAGAGGAAACTGTATGTAATTTTCTTTGAATAAATCCCCCAAACCTGGAGCAGGAAAGGCAGGGGACTTGAAACTGCATCCATAAGCTGGTCATGATGGTCCCAAACATGGCCAGTGCATGATCATTTTGGATGGTGTGAATTATAGTTTGTACTCCCTCTTAAGCATAGTTGTTCATATCTTACGATATGTCTCGATATAGTAACCAAACAATACGTATCTTACGATACGTTCTGATACAACCAAAAAACTATTTGCGCAATATCAAAACGACTTCATTTTCACAAGACTTTTTTTTTAGCTTAAGCAATGAAACAATTTTGTTTTCCTATGTGTTATTTTTTCATTTTCTATGTGTTATTTTTTCTTTTTTTGGTTTGATCTCAAACAAAAGAAGCTCTTGATCATCTTCATGTCATGAGATGAGACCATCTTTTGTTTCTTCTGCATCTTATTTTTCTTCTTCTTATTCAAACAAACAAAACCATAACTATATTTCGATCTCTATTGTGAAGACAATGTCTTTCTTTCGTTCTCTATTGGACACAGCACAAACCCATCACACGAAATGATGAGTGGGTTGAAATGTTATTTATATTACTTCAGACACCATATATTTACATATTTTTAAGGGGGCATGTGTGGATGCCAATTTTTTAAATTGAGTATTCGTTACAATACACGATACATTATTTTTAAAAAACGATACACGTTCTGATACACCTTTTGACAACCTTGCTCTTAAGCATGGATTCTGATTCTCTGACGTGGAATGAGTTGATGCATTATTTATTTTTATGTTTTACTTGTCTGGTATGATCAATGTTGCTTTTGGTTGAAAATTATGTTTACGTTAGCTTGTTCTTTAGGTTTGGTTTTTTGTGGATTTGATGGGGAGTGAAGTGGATTATAGTTCTGATGAAGACACTGATGTCAGTGAATCTGAAATAGAGGAATATGAAGACAAAGCTTATGAAGAATTGAAGAGTGGAAGGCACCACATCCAAATATCCGATCAAGCTTACACTTGCCCATACTGTCCAAAGAAAAAGAAGCGAGATTACCTATACAAGGACCTCTTACAGCATGCAAACGGCGTGGGCAAGTGTAATTCACAAAAGCGAAGTGTAAGAGATAAGGCCAATCATCTAGCATTGGCGAAATATTTAGAGAAAGATTTAGCAGTTGTTGCGGGCCCATCACGACCAGTAGCTGAGGCTGATCCTTTGGCAGATCATGATGGTGACGAGATGTTTGTTTGGCCGTGGATCGGAATTGTTGTTAACCTCCCTACTCAATGGAAGGATGGGCGTTATGTGGGGGAGAGTGGTTCTAAGTTAAGGGACCAGTTGATCAGGAGAGGCTTCAATCCCATAAGAGTACACCCTCTCTGGAATTTCCGTGGACATTCGGGAAGTGCAGTTGTGGAATTTAATAAAGATTGGTCTGGGTTCAACAATGCTATGTCTTTTGAGAAGGCTTATGAGGCTGATCATCATGGGAAAAAAGACTGGCAACCAACGGATGCCCAAAAATCTGATCTTTATGCATGGGTTGCTCGTGCAGATGACTACAATTCCAAATGCATCATTGGGGAACATCTTCGAAAGGTTGGTGACCTTAGAACCATTTCTGATATCATGGCTGATGAAGCTCGGAAGACAAGTAAGCTTGTAAATAATTTGACAAACGTCATCGAGGTCAAGAAGATGCACTTAAAACAAATGGAGGAGAATATCAATGAGACTTCAAAGTCCCTGAGCATGTCAATTGCAGAAAAAGATAAGCTTCATCAAGATTACAATGAAGGTGTGATGTTTTCAAGATTATTTAGTGTTTCCATCCACTTTTTAGAACTGAGTCAAATAAAGTCAAATCTACAGCTGTAGGGTTCTGTTAAGGCTGTGAGCATCTCCAATAGACTCTCTATTTCCACTCAACTCTTTATTTTACAGAGTCAATCACTAAAAATCAATCTCCAATAGGCTCTCTATTTAGACAGTTCGACTCTCTTTTAAAATTTTATCAAAGATGGTCTCTATTTCAAAAAAGATCCTCTCTAAAAATAGAGGTTACTAATGGAGATGCTTTGACTGACCTAGCTTTGTGCCAATACCAAAATTTGACTTTTTGTTGTTCTTATTAGTTATTATTAGTATTTCCTTATCCGTGGTGATAGTAGTTTTTGACATGCTTCTTTGCAATGAGTAGAGATAAAAAGGATTCAGTCAAGTGCCAGGGAACATTTCCAGAAGATTTTTAATGACCATGAAAAGCTTAAGGTGCAATTGGAAACTCAAAAAAAAGAGCTTGAGCTCAAGGGTAATGAATTGGAGAAACGTGAGACCCGGAATGAAAATGAAAGAAAAAAGCTCTTTGAAGAGATTGAAAAGGTGCAGCATTTGATACTTGGTATTGCATGCTTCATATTGCAACTTGCTTCTTTATCATGCGTCTCTATGTGTATGTCAAAGAAGTGAACAAACCCCACCTCCGCCCCCCTAAAAGAAAAAACTCCATTGTCAACTGTTTTGAAATGGTTAATTATTCCTATACTGATATAGGTAAATACTTTTTGAAGGGGAAGATCAAGGGAGTTGATCCTCCTATACTGTAGTTCAATTGTGATTAACTAAGGGTTCCCATAATGCGTTAATGATTCCATAATACATTACTTGGAGCTTATCTAGTCAAATGAAATCCTTTGTACATGAAGGAATCCATTTTGATAGAAAATTGTGATAATCGATAATTAGACTGATTATATTGGCCTGACTAAGCCCTCAGATTCTAGTCTTCTTATGGATTATTTGAGAAACTTCACTTATTTGTTGTATCCTCCGCTGGACATTGAGACAGAATACACTTTCCATGATACTGATGTATCATTGATGACGGTCATGTCCAAATTAAATAATGTAGACTTTTAGAGTTAATCATTATTGCCTGTTCTTTGGGCAGCAGTGTTGTATTGATGGGTATCAGCAGTAGCTGCTTAGTGCTCTGAAATTCATGGATCCTACTTATAATTACTGAATAATTGTGCCTTCCATACTGTATAGATTCGAAGGCGAACCATTAAACAGTAAAAATCTTACATATGTGATAGGGTTTTGTCTTAATTTATTATGTCTGTTTTGGGGGATATTTTTACGATAAGGGCATTATACCCAATGCAATTTGTTAAAAGAAAACATTATTGTAACATAGTTTTCCGTTGCTATACTACTGTCTGCATCATTACTTGGAAATTATTGTGCTTAAGGTGTATAATTAGCTAGAAATGGTTGACAAACATGTATTGATGTTCTCCCAGAATGCATTGGAAAATAGTTCACTTCAGACGGCATCTGAAGAGCAGAAAAAAGCTGATGAAAATGTAATGAAATTGGCAGAAATTCAGAAGGTGTGTTAATTATCTACTTTTATAGTTGAATAATGACTGGAATGTTTCAATGCCAAGTTCAAACATCTTATACCTCAAAGAATGAATCTGACTACTAATTTCAGAAGCAAAAGGAGGATCTCCACAAGAAAATTATTCAACTGGAAAAACAATTGGATGCAAAACAAGCAGTGGAGCTAGAAATCGAGCAGTTGAGAGGGACATTAAATGTAATGAAGCACATGGGAGATGATGGTGATTTGGAAATTTTGAAAAAGGTAGAGAGCATGCAGAAAATGTTGAGGGAAAAGGAAGGAGATTTTGATGATTTAGAATCCTTGAACCAAACTTTAATAGTGAAGGAGCGCAAGAGCAACGATGAGCTGCAGGAAGCTCGTAAAGAATTGATTAATGTAAGTCCTTTCAATTTTATTATTTTCCTCGTTTTTTCAGTCTACTATCAATATGGCAACACTAATCTTCCCAGCTCCTATGTGGAAGCTGTGTGCAATTGTAGATTGTCAAAAAGGTTCTTAACGAGTATACTATAGGTTCCTAATTTTGATTATTGAAGCCAGGCATGACCCATTAGGCAATAGCTATGCATGTTGCTAAGAGTAGATTATGCAGATTACTAAAATATTACTGAAAGGATGAAAAGGCAGAAAACAATGGCCGCATATAAAGTTAATACTTAGTAGTTGGTACTTGGTAGTACAATGCACCCCAAGTAATTTGAGTGATGATTTTGTGTTTTTATTGTAGGGTTCAGCATGTCATACTGCAGCACTTTAGGTGACTAGTGAATTCTTGGACTTCTCTTTCTTTTTTCTTTTTCTTTTTTTGTTGTAGAGCTTTATTTGGGGTAGGCGATCCCCGTTTTTGGGTCAAAACAGTAATTTCTTGTTTATGAGATACGCTATGGGGATTGGCTAGGTCTTCAGCTTTTTAACATGATAGATGCATGTGGCTCTGTATTAAGAGTTTTTTTTAAAAATTTTGCTTAAAGATTTTGTCTCCACATGGCAGAGCCCTCAACCCATTAGGGGAAGTACTAATTGAGTTGATTTTAGGGCTTGAAAGAACTAGCCAAGACTGCTCCTATTGGTGTTAGGAGAATGGGGGAGCTCGACAGCAAACCATTCCATGAAGCAATGAAGAGAAAATATAATGACACAGAAGCAGATGAGAGAGCTTCAGAATTGTGCTCATTGTGGGAGGAGTACCTTCGAGATCCTGATTGGCATCCCTTTAAAGTGATCAATGTCGATGGAAAACATCAGGTATACGTTTTACAGATATTTGGAAAATTGGCCAGCACAATAATGGAACTATGCGTTTGTTCGTTGAACATAAAATACAGAAATATGAAGTCAATATTTATGTTGAGGCTGTTTGCATTACAATTAGAAGTTTTAAAATATTATGAACTCTCTCTCGTATCTCTCTGTGGCTTATATGTGTGCGTCTATTGTTTCTTTGAGTTCATGGCATGTTAGGCTGGCTGCTTTGCATCACAATTGGTGTGATGCGCTCCATTTGGAATTGGTGAAGCCAAAAACCTGAAGCTACTAAATGCTGCCAAGTGCCATTGTAGCTTATGCTCTCTCTTCTCCATCTGTCTCCCCCTCGAATGCTACCAATGGAGCAGGGCGGAGACATACTTACATCAAAATAAATATGTCATGTATCAGGGCTGGTCATTGTATCATCATCATGATATGCCAAATGGCTGTTATGTTATAGATGCCACCAAGTTTGGTGAAATCCGAGAATAGAACATTTTNGTTCAGCATGTCATACTGCAGCACTTTAGGTGACTAGTGAATTCTTGGACTTCTCTTTCTTTTTTCTTTTTCTTTTTTTGTTGTAGAGCTTTATTTGGGGTAGGCGATCCCCGTTTTTGGGTCAAAACAGTAATTTCTTGTTTATGAGATACGCTATGGGGATTGGCTAGGTCTTCAGCTTTTTAACATGATAGATGCATGTGGCTCTGTATTAAGAGTTTTTTTTAAAAATTTTGCTTAAAGATTTTGTCTCCACATGGCAGAGCCCTCAACCCATTAGGGGAAGTACTAATTGAGTTGATTTTAGGGCTTGAAAGAACTAGCCAAGACTGCTCCTATTGGTGTTAGGAGAATGGGGGAGCTCGACAGCAAACCATTCCATGAAGCAATGAAGAGAAAATATAATGACACAGAAGCAGATGAGAGAGCTTCAGAATTGTGCTCATTGTGGGAGGAGTACCTTCGAGATCCTGATTGGCATCCCTTTAAAGTGATCAATGTCGATGGAAAACATCAGGTATACGTTTTACAGATATTTGGAAAATTGGCCAGCACAATAATGGAACTATGCGTTTGTTCGTTGAACATAAAATACAGAAATATGAAGTCAATATTTATGTTGAGGCTGTTTGCATTACAATTAGAAGTTTTAAAATATTATGAACTCTCTCTCGTATCTCTCTGTGGCTTATATGTGTGCGTCTATTGTTTCTTTGAGTTCATGGCATGTTAGGCTGGCTGCTTTGCATCACAATTGGTGTGATGCGCTCCATTTGGAATTGGTGAAGCCAAAAACCTGAAGCTACTAAATGCTGCCAAGTGCCATTGTAGCTTATGCTCTCTCTTCTCCATCTGTCTCCCCCTCGAATGCTACCAATGGAGCAGGGCGGAGACATACTTACATCAAAATAAATATGTCATGTATCAGGGCTGGTCATTGTATCATCATCATGATATGCCAAATGGCTGTTATGTTATAGATGCCACCAAGTTTGGTGAAATCCGAGAATAGAACATTTTGGAAAAAAGTTAATTTATTCACTCTACAACTAGAAATTTTAGTTATTTTGTGTTCCTCTGATAGCATTTAACTTTTGGTCTATAAGATTTCACGTACAACTTCCCATGCTTGCAAGGTTACTGCAACAAGCTAAGATGAAGTGGTGGTTCTGCTATATTTTCAACTTCATTTCCCTATTGAAGATCCATGTTCACTGAGTGGTTTAGCTTGAGTAATAGCCTCCAGATTGTTGCATTGCTTGATTGGTTAGTTAGGGGGTAATATCCATGTCTTGTACCATGGATCCTTTGACAATGATGTCACTGGAGTTCACCGCTATATATTAACTTGCATTTGTATCTATGTTCAAATGTGTGTGAATTTCTTTCATGTTGATGGTTGAGAGGTTGTCATCAATTTTTCTTTTGATAAAACTATGTCGTTGATGGGAAAATATGGCCCTTGATCAAATAAATGGCAGGATAGGACTAATGAAGATGACATCAGGTAGTTGGGAGAAGAATCTGTTGGGTTGTTGAGTTGATTTGTTTAGTTGATGTGCATGTTCAATTGGATTTATACATGAAGCATGGAACAGAATCGACAAAGAAGCATGAACAATAACAATTGTTTCTAAGGTTAATTGGTTTTACACTGATTTGAAGCACTTGATTGACTACAAAGTAAATTTCAATACAGATTTTTCTTAAATGTCCAGTAAAATATTTTTACTTTAATTTTCCTTTCTTTTAAATATAGTTTACTTATGACCAATATATCTGGTTCAGGGAGTGATAGATAGCGAAGATGAAAAGTTGAAAGGTGTGAAGAAAGAATTTGGTGATGAAGTGTACAAGGCTGTGACGACAGCTTTGACTGAGGTGAATGAATACAATCCAAGTGGAAGGTACATCATTTCAGAGCTATGGAACTACGCTGAAGGTAGGAAAGCTACTTTGAAAGAGGGAGTCGTCTGCATACTGAAGCAGTGGAGAATTTACAAGCGACTGAGAGGGGAGTGATGGTTGGAATTATGTTCTGCCTTAATTTCGAATATTTCAGCCTTTATCTGTATCTGTATCTGTTAGAGTACTTTAATGTAGAACTCATGTATAACTTAACCAGCATGAAAAGCTAGATCATTGACACTGCTCGTGCAGTGCCCTACCCCAAGAACCAGGGTACAAATTGTCTTAGAAAGAGCTGTGACATCCATGTCTCAATCTTGCCCTTGATATTCCACATTTGAAGGTAATAATATCTATGCAAATGCCATTGGAGTTATCCATAACAGAATGGCTGAGTGATTGAGATGTACTGTTAACAGAACTCTGGGAATAAATTGTTGATCTATGATGGTTGCCTTTGGCATGAGGAGTCATTTTCTTTAACAACAGTTAAATTTATCCTTTTTCATTTTCAGGTCTGCTGGTGTTCTAATTGTACCCCATAATTTGTGTCCTTCAGATTGATGACTATTCCCTATTATTATTACTCTTTGACTTTGAGTAACAAAAGTAGGATNTTGGCATGAGGAGTCATTTTCTTTAACAACAGTTAAATTTATCCTTTTTCATTTTCAGGTCTGCTGGTGTTCTAATTATAATTTGTGTCCTTCAGATTGATGACTATTTCCTAATATTATTACTCTTTGACTTTGAGTAACAAAAGTAGGCTGAAACGAATGGAGAAGTGCATCTGGTATATCACGTAACTAGCAATAATTCGTGTTTGAAAACATTCTACAATACCAAAAATTGAGTATTGATTGTGTAATATTTATATTTTAAATATTAATTTATTTTTTATTTTCTTTTCTTTAAGAGAGGGGTACGAGAGAAAGAAGTAGGTATGGATTAATAAGTAAATGCCAGACATTAAGAACCTAATTGACATAGGTAATTTGAACTTGTTAATTTATTATTGTGTAAGTGAATAATAGTGATGTGTTGAGAATAAAGCAGGATGGAGAGACGAAATTTATCTCAAAATGAGATAATAAAAGAATACAATGAATAGTAAATATCTTCTTTGATAGAATAGAATACAATAACACAAGAATAATGTTTCTTGGATTTAATATATGCAGTTTATTATTTATTATATAAGATTAACGATGGATTTTAATTTTGGGTCTGTTATTATTTCGGTGAATCACTTGAGCCCTAATATATTTTTTGGTGTCATGTAGTTAGACCGGTGAGCTATTACGCTTTCTTTAAAAGATGGCTAATTCCAAGCCCACCTCTTGATTGTCATTGCTCGATCACTTCCTTTTTCATCGAGTGATTTCTTAAGGACATTAGTGTATGATATGAGTTGTTTCTCTCTTAACTTTGGATCTTAGCACCTTTGGATTTGTCGTAAGTTCACAGACTATNTACGCTTTCTTTAAAAGATGGCTAATTCCAAGCCCACCTCTTGATTGTCATTGCTCAATCACTTCCTTTTTCATCGAGTGATTTCTTAAGGACATTAGCGTATGATATGAGTTGTTTCTCTCTTAACTTTGGATCTTAGCACCTTTGAATTTGTCGTAAGTTCACAGACTGTAATAGATTAACTCAATAAACTAAATCAAATTAATATAATTGAAAATAAAATATTGTTTGTTTATTCAATCTCAAAAAATTGAGATATGGTTTTGTGTATTCAATAATATAAAATTTGCTTAGTTTTAGCTTACCATAATTTTTTTAATGTAAATACAAAGCACAATCTTACTCACCACAAACATCATTTTATCATATTTTTAAATTTTTATAATTGGAGATTTGTGCGATCCACGAGATTAATAATATCTTCATAACTTTTTTTTTTATTTCTTTCTTTTCACTTGTATATTAGACAAATGATTAAAATAAAAGTTAGGGTAATACATAATGAGTAATAGTTCCTCTCATGTTCTTATCACAAACCGGTTCATCTTTTTATTTTTTTTTATTTTGCTTGTTCAAAATAAAAAAATATGTATCGGTTGTTACAGGAATTGGAGAGGAGAGTCTAGAATAATCGAANAATGAGTAATAGTTCCTCTCATGTTCTTATCACAAACCGGTTCATCTTTTTATTTTGCTTGTTCAAAATAAAAAAATATGTATCAGTTGTTACAGGAATTGGAGAGGAGAGTCTAGAATAATCGAAAAAAGAGTTTAGTTATAATATTAAAAAATAATTTTTTTGTACTATATCTTTTTTTTTTTCAACAAAAATAACACATGTAAGGTATTCTTATTTTTTTATTTTATTATTGTTACAATTAATAGCTATAAATACATTAAATTAATATCTACGAAATAAGATAGTATATGATTGTTAATTAATTTTGATATCCTATCAATTTTTTTTAGAGCTACGTAATTTTATCCACGCAAAAAAAATACTATCTTTTTTTGTCGTCATCAGTGGTCCGAAGATGACAACCAGAGAAGGCAAGTACAGTTAACAGAACCACTCCACGTGTCAAAACCTATCCAAGAGATTGACGGTGGTTTGGCCCAACCAACTGTCCAAGATATATATGTGCGCGCGCGAGAGAGAGACAGAGAGAGAGGCTTGTGGTGACCTGTTATTGCCCGGGCATTAATGCCCTTTTTTGGCGGGTAAGACTATATGGATAAAAAATTGACTAAATTGCATATACAGCCTTCAAATTGTGCCTCTTGTGTGAATTAAATTTTTGAACTTTTTTTTTATATCAATTGAGCACTTTAACTCTTAAACTATATATATAACTCTTAAATTATGATTCTTGTATCAATTAAACTCTTAAAATTTTTATTTTTTTTGATCAATTAAGTCCCTGAATTCTTTAATTGTTTCAATTAAATACTTTTATTTTTAATTGAAATAAAAAAATTTAGGGATTTAATTGACATAAAAATTATAGTTCAAGGGCCATATATATAATTTACTCATGAAAAATTTGATAATTTTCTTAGATTAGGAGGGATTAGTCCTGATATAGATGACTTACTTTTGATTGAATCGAAGACAAAATTAGTTAAGGTACGTATAAATTGGTTTACACACCACCTGTCAATTGAACAGTAAAAAATACAGTAATTAATAAGTGAGAGATAGAGATAAAAGCAAGACAAGATTTATAGTGGTTCATTCAATGTGACCTACGTCCACTTTGAATAGTTAGGGTCGCCGAGTATTTTATTAACTCAAGTGTGTAGGAAGAGCAGAGAGTTACAAGCTATGAGTGGGAGAGGGGAGATGTTCTCGATTAAGTGTGATGCCTCTAAGTGTTTGCGAGACTTACAATTTATAGTCGCTTCATAACGAATTGGGACGACTTAATAGTAATTAAATAACGGATTCGGAGGAGGTGGTGGCCTATTTTCAATGGGCGAGACAGTTACAATATTCTCTATAAGGCTCGATCAAAGAATGAGGTGAGTGTTGATTTTTTTAAGGTGGTTAGGAGGAGACTCTTGAATGACCCTTACTCTAAGGTGGCTAAAAAGATGTTCTTGGATGACCCTTACTCCAAGGTGGCTAGGAGGAGACTCTTAGATAACTCTTATTCCAAGGCGACTAGAAGGAGGTTCTTGGATGACCCTTGCATGCTCCCCAGCCGATATGGCTCCTCGAACCTAATGAGCTTGATCGGGCATGAACTACTTTGAGTGCTGGATCTCATAGAGTTGAACTCTTAATTTAAACTGAACTCGTAGCATGAGTTGGGCCTTGAGCTTGACCCATCAACATCTCTAACTAAAATACAAAAAAATATTAAATAGAAAAAACTACGGTACCATAAAAAATGTGGGGCTAACATATATAAAAAAAAAGAAGAAGATCGTAATCGTAGATTTTGTGTTGATTTATTTGTGCTTTTAATATAAAAAAATAATAAAATAAAATGAAATAATAAAATAGACGGATACTTTACAGTTGACATGTTATTATTAATAAAAAATAATTTTTAGTACCGTAATTTTTTACTTTTTACATGTGGGGTTTAAAGCACCAACGGGTTTTTGTCCACAAGTGAAAAACTACTATTTGAGAGAGAGAGAGAGAGAGAAAACTCAAGTAGTTTACGTTACGTAAATTCAAATCCCTATACAAATCAAGCGAATCTGTGCAGAATTTCTATGATTAACGCAGAGATCGGTATTAGCAGAGGTAATTCGATCGTATTACTTGTGTATACGCAAATGAGTATATGATTATATGTTTTGTATTCTCAAAATTTTCAAGTTAATTTTGGGATATCATTGAATTTGGCTTGAATTTTGTCGTGGATTTGGATGTGTCGTTTTAGATTATGGTTTTGGAAAGGTTTGGTTGGATCTGCGTTGAAATTGAAGAAATCGGACTCGTTTATTCGTGAAATTCAGCTTGATCAGGCAGAGATCCGATCAGATTTCGTCAAATCTGTTTGTGTGTGCTCGATCGTGTTAGAATAGATTCTGTCGTGAAACAACAAAATGGGTTCGGAATTGAGGTTCTGGTTTGAATTGCCAAGATCATAATTCAACTGACAGATGAGCTTTGTTTGGCTGTGCAGAACTGGTTTTCTTAAGCATTATTTATCTATTTGTTAACTCCAATAAAACAGTTGCTTTGGAATTGGGGCTCCCAGTTTCGATTCCAATTTCATAGAGAGACTTTTGGACAGCGGTCTGAGTCAATAGAGATCAAATTTAGGCTTAGATAATTTTCTCTAATTCTTTCCGAAGTATTCATTCTGGTCGTTTTTGGAACTACCACCTTAAATCTTTAACATGTTATATGAACCCAGTTTGCCCCCCACTCTCTGTCCTTTTTGCTTGTCAATTGAGGAGGAAATATTGGAAGTAGAATCTTTCTGTTTGAGATTTGTAGCGATGGTCGAAAATAAATGTCCGACAAATTTTTAAAAGCAATAGCTATTTTGATGACGAGTGTGAGTGAAACCATCTACTCTCTGATCTATTGGTATAAGTTAACATTTGTGTGATCCAGGCAAGGTGTACATAACGCCTCCTGAGGAATTTTTTCATTGAAATATTTTTTTGTGGAACTTTCATCTTTGCTTGAACGGGCAGCTCTTATTACAGATCTGACAGGGAAAATTACATAAATTGTGTTGTTTTTTTGAAAACTGAGAATTATCCAAAGTGGCAAATCACCATTTTAAATGTCACTTCTCTAGTATCATTTAAAAGCTTTGTTTTTTGAGTTTTTGAATCATCTATACGGTTGTACCTTGTCGAGTGAGATGAAATATGTGGTGATACATCAATACATAACTTATATGTATTTATTCGTATCTGATTTTGTAGGCTGAGGTCTATCTGGTAACAGTACTTCATCACAATTGATGATCACTTATTGGCATTTATGCATGAGATATGGTGTTAAAGAAGAGGCTCGATCATGGATTCAATGGTTACGGTCTCCCTCTTATACCTAGAGCTCCAAGATCAGTTAGAGTAAGCATATATTACAATAATGTTTTTCCCTTATCATACCATTTGTTGGTTGTGTGCTTAAAAACTTACATGTATACCCCTTGTTTATTAATTTAGAGGAAGGGTTCACGTAAGCAAACAGTGGAGGATAGCCAAATTTGTGCATTCGAATTACTGGCAGCTGTAGCTGGCAAATTGCTGCAGGAGAGCGAAAGTTCTGCTTCCAGTAATGCTGCAGAAGGAAATGATCAGCTTTTTCTCCATAAAGATGGTCTTAAACAGGAACTAATAGAAGAAGGTCAAGCTTTGAGATCTGATTGCCTTGATCAGGGAAGCTTCATAGAGAGTGAATTTATCCCTAAATTTTCAGCTGAGGATTGCAATTTAAAGTCAGAATTGAAAGAATTCCCTCTTGGAGAGAATGATTCTATTTTGGAACGCACTTCCAATGTTACTAGTCCTAATTTCACGAAGAAAGTTGGTTTGTCTGCTGGTTGTGATGTGAACGGGGAAATCTGTGGAAGTAAGAATGCTCATGAAAATTTTCCTAATAAAGCAGAGGGAGGCTGCTCAGATGATGGGGAATCATTTGGCTGTAAGATAGATAATGAAATAGAAAGACAGGTAGAGGCTACATGGAAGCCGACCATTGATTTGACTGCGCCTAACACCAAGGATCCCATGGAGATTTGTGCAAATACTCACACACTCGTTAATTCACAGGGTAGTGTACAGTTGCCCTTGTATAGTGACCCCGTTCCTAATGCTTCTTTTGCTAAGCATAGGGATGATGTAAAGTTAGGTAGTAGAGATGATGATGAAAATTCTTTTAGGTGCAACCAATCTAGCACCAAGAAACGGGCCTTTAGGCCGCAAACACGTATTGGATACCGACGAATAAGGAAGATGCTGACAACTAAATACTGGAAAGTAGCTCCAAAATTGAAGGATTATGAAATTTCTAACATTGGTAAGTGATGGCTCTTACTTTTTGGTGGGAGTATAGTAAATTTGAAGTTTTACAGTTCATTTGCATGTAAGTTCAACTTTACGGAAATTTCTTGCCTTAAATTCAATTATTTTGGCATCTTTAGATCGGGGAACAAAGCCCATATACCGCAGTAGGAAAGCCATTTACACACTTGAAAGATGTCAACATGAAGCTCCTTCTAAGAGGAGGAAATTGTTTGACCATAGCTCAAGAGTTATGTATAATCAGGAGGCTAGTAGTGAAAGCATATCTAATTCACCCAAGAAGAACATAATGGGAGCCAAAAATGCTTCAGCTGCATTCTTTCACCGAGGTTCTTGCTTCTCTTTTATGTTTCGGTTGAAATATTCTTGGTATTCCACAGGTTTCCTAAATGATATTTGTTTGGTTTTTTGTGCAGCAAGAGGATTGCCATCTTCTACTAAAGGCCATCAAGCATCTTTTCACTCCAATAATTCACATGGTGGTGAAATTGTTATTTATTTGACTAAGTTGTTGCTGTGGCTTCGATGAGTTACTTACATGCGTTATGNTTTTCAGATTTTCTGCATGTTGCATTAATGTAGAAAGATTGTTCTATTTTAATATAAAATTAATTAATTTTTTTTTTTTGGTAAATAACAAATGGATATATAGATATGTCACTCTACATATCCGTTAGGAAGCATTGTCCCTCAACATCACAATACTATTTACAAGAAACTCCACCGAATCTTACGTTGGGGCCAAACATAAGATATCATCATATGCTCGTTGGACATCGAAGANTGTTTCATACAGTATGCAGTGTAGATCCTTAATCTCATGAGTTGCATAAGACATAAATACCATGCATTTGGGCTTAGACCTCTTTCGGTTATATATGGGGATGATTTGGGTGAATTAAATTCCTTTCACTAATTCGCAATTTGGGAAAGCTGTTATACTATTTTCCCATTTATATAAGTTATGCTGGTATTCTTGTTGTTACCTTCAAGTTCTACCATCGAGGGAATTGACTTACTCCTCTCTTCATTAATTTCTTATTCCATGTCAGCCTTCAGGAAAAGGTTAGGTGCCACCATATTACAAGCTCGTTTAGCAAACACTTACCCATTTGTTATTTAATGTCCATAGACTTTGGTAAAATGAAATGCCGAAGTTGTTAATAACTGAAGTAATGTACTCGTCATATACCAAAGTGGGTGCATCTCAAGTGGGATCCTGATCCTCTTCCTCACATGGACATGACATTATAGGACTTATACGTAAGTTGGGATATGGGAATACTGAATGAGGTTTATTGTGTTGGTATCATATTTGATCTGTAATGTTGTTGCAGTGATAAAGCTTCCTGAATCTCATAAGTGCGTTTTGTGTTCTAAGCAGAGGACAGTTATGGAAACAGTGACTGCTATCCTTGGTGGGGGATTACATGTAGGGGTACTTCTTCAAGGGAAGAAGGTTAGGGAGGACAACAGAACTCTGCTGCAGACTGGTATTTCTTGTAGTGGCAACCTTGATACTCTGGGTTTTACACTGGAGCCTTGTATCTCCCCAACTTCTCCACCTGTTAAAGATCCTCCTCTTTCGGTGTCATGTGAGGCACATCAACAATCACCCAGGTATTTCTATGTGCTGTAAATGTTTGTTTCTTGTTGCACCATATCGGAGTGGCCCCTCAAGTGTATAAATCAACCTTGGTGGTCCTAATTATTCGATGTGGGATACAAGCTTTCTTATCACATAGGAATGACATTATTATTATTATTATTTCTTTTTACATCCATTCAGTTCAGAGGTGCTAGTGTTTTAGTTATTTTCGTTGATATCATATTGCTTTATCTTCAGGTCCCCAGACAGTCCCATTCTGGAGTTAGGGTGCCCCAATGCCTCATCTGATCCTCCTCCGGTGACTAATATGGACAACCATGTTGAGAGTCATCATGAGTTAGTTCCTGCCCCTGCTAATGTAATAACGGATGGAATAGTGCCAGATTGTAAAGCCTTGGTTGCCATTCCACCGATAACTGTTGAGGCACATGCTGTGGTTCCCATGAACCAAAAGGCTAAGCATTCAGAGCTTTCACAGCGTAGAACTAGGAGGCCTTTTTCTGTGTCAGAAGTAGAAGCACTGGTTGAAGCAGTAGAGAAACTTGGAACAGGGCGGTGCGTATATATACCATCTTGCTTTTGCCTTAATTCCATGCTCCCTCCACTCTCCTCCCTACCGGTGGGATGTGCATGGCAGTTAGCAGGCTCTGAGTTTGCACAACTGATCGTCTTGTCTTTTTTGTTCAGTGAAGAGATTCTTTTCTGTTGTGTGGTTAGGGATTTCTGACTGTCTACTGATTCTGCAGGTGGCGTGATGTTAAAATGCGTGCTTTTGATAGTGCAAATCGTCGAACTTATGTGGACCTGAAGGTATGAGAATATCCGTCACTTTTGTGATCTTCTTACATATGGGACTATCAATTTATATCTAAAAGGAGAATGTGCAATTTATCTGAATGACAATTATCGTTAGCAACAACATTGGCAGTGAGTGTAAGACTGGCTGTGGGAGGTACATGGCTATTCCTGAGAACAGTGATAGTCATCTCATAATATAGTAGATTTGGCTGTACATCTTCTTCTTATAGAAAGAAAGAAAGATCATAAAGAAATAGTCACTATCCCGAAAGCTTGGCAATGCTCCTTCCCATACCCTTCTATTTCATTCTCCAAGTAAGACAGGTCTTTAGTGAGGCCTGGGGAAAACCAATACAAACTAGTTTCTTTGGCACACAAGCATGTTAAAAAATCGTACCCAATGCGCTAGGCTCNAAAAAAAAAAAATAGGAAAAGGATATGTAGAAAGTCAATTAAATTTGTGCAACATTTCTCACACGTAACACGATCCATCGCGGCCGGGTCTTTCTGTTGGAGAAGGCTGGCACTTGTAAATGATTTGTTGAAATAAGAGCATTCTAACAGAATCCATTGTTGTCACTTTGATTTTGTAGATTCTATTCTTTTGCAAACATTGTTTGAACTGGAAGAATAAATCAAGAAGTGTTAATGATTTTGAATTGGTTGGAACTTTTATTATTTGTTTTTTTATTTTTTCTTGTGAAATTCTGTGTGCTTGAGTTTGTTAATTTGAATATGAGAATAGTATTAACAAGGCCAAATCTTAGGGTTGTACTCATTTTATTGTTCTCATATCCTCATCAAAGATAATTGCATGGTTTATTTTTATTTTTTTCAGATTTTCTGCATGTTGCATTAATGTAGAAAGATTGTTCTATTTTAATATAAAATTAATTAATTTTTTTTTTTGGTAAATAACAAATGGATATATAGATATGTCACTCTATCTATCCGTTAGGAAGCATTGTACCTCAACACTACAATACTATTTGCAAGAAACTCCACCGAATTTTACGTTGGGGCCAAACATAAGATATCATCATATGCTCGTTGGACGTCGAAAAGTAAATTTAATTCTACTGAATTGTCGTAACCGTAGAAATTCAAACTCAAACATTAAATGAAAAAATTCTAATAAAATCAATAACTAATTTTACTCATATCTGAAATAAAGTCGACAAAACACAATGATTAATTGCTGGAGGTTATAATTCATGTCATGTACAAGAAATTTAAAAGAGATAAGCGATCACAATCTTATCATTTGCTGTAATTCTAACATTCAAAACTCAAATCGGCCCCTCGCCAAAAGATGGTGGCAGGGGGTGGTGGGTGGTGAATGAAGTGAGACAACCATTGTCGTCACCTTCTGGCCGTAATCTCATGCACGTTGCGCCATTTAATTGTGAATTATAGTTTTTTGTTTGAGTAAAAAAAACAGGGGCACATGGTTTTGGTAACACACACAGTTGCTTATTGATAGCCTGATAGGCGACAAGTCAGGCTGTTACATTGCTTACATTACGTGTGTTAATGTAGCGAGTAATGAAGAACGTTCACGTGCACGCCACATGCAAAGGTTAAGCATCCAAACTGACCGCTGACNTTTTGTGTTCTAAGCAGAGGACAGTTATGGAAACAGTGACTGCTATCCTTGGTGGGGGATTACATGTAGGGGTACTTCTTCAAGGGAAGAAGGTTAGGGAGGACAACAGAACTCTGCTGCAGACTGGTATTTCTTGTAGTGGCAACCTTGATACTCTGGGTTTTACACTGGAGCCTTGTATCTCCCCAACTTCTCCACCTGTTAAANACCATTCTGGCAGGCTGTCCACATTTCCAATTTTAGTCCGACTCAAATTTGGGTATATATNGTATTTCTTGTAGTGGCAACCTTGATACTCTGGGTTTTACACTGGAGCCTTGTATCTCCCCAACTTCTCCACCTGTTAAAGATCCTCCTCTTTCGGTGTCATGTGAGGCACATCAACAATCACCCAGGTATTTCTATGTGCTGTAAATGTTTGTTTCTTGTTGCACCATATCGGAGTGGCCCCTCAAGTGTATAAATCAACCTTGGTGGTCCTAATTATTCGATGTGGGATACAAGCTTTCTTATCACATAGGAATGACATTATTATTATTATTATTTCTTTTTACATCCATTCAGTTCAGAGGTGCTAGTGTTTTAGTTATTTTCGTTGATATCATATTGCTTTATCTTCAGGTCCCCAGACAGTCCCATTCTGGAGTTAGGGTGCCCCAATGCCTCATCTGATCCTCCTCCGGTGACTAATATGGACAACCATGTTGAGAGTCATCATGAGTTAGTTCCTGCCCCTGCTAATGTAATAACGGATGGAATAGTGCCAGATTGTAAAGCCTTGGTTGCCATTCCACCGATAACTGTTGAGGCACATGCTGTGGTTCCCATGAACCAAAAGGCTAAGCATTCAGAGCTTTCACAGCGTAGAACTAGGAGGCCTTTTTCTGTGTCAGAAGTAGAAGCACTGGTTGAAGCAGTAGAGAAACTTGGAACAGGGCGGTGCGTATATATACCATCTTGCTTTTGCCTTAATTCCATGCTCCCTCCACTCTCCTCCCTACCGGTGGGATGTGCATGGCAGTTAGCAGGCTCTGAGTTTGCACAACTGATCGTCTTGTCTTTTTTGTTCAGTGAAGAGATTCTTTTCTGTTGTGTGGTTAGGGATTTCTGACTGTCTACTGATTCTGCAGGTGGCGTGATGTTAAAATGCGTGCTTTTGATAGTGCAAATCGTCGAACTTATGTGGACCTGAAGGTATGAGAATATCCGTCACTTTTGTGATCTTCTTACATATGGGACTATCAATTTATATCTAAAAGGAGAATGTGCAATTTATCTGAATGACAATTATCGTTAGCAACAACATTGGCAGTGAGTGTAAGACTGGCTGTGGGAGGTACATGGCTATTCCTGAGAACAGTGATAGTCATCTCATAATATAGTAGATTTGGCTGTACATCTTCTTCTTATAGAAAGAAAGAAAGATCATAAAGAAATAGTCACTATCCCGAAAGCTTGGCAATGCTCCTTCCCATACCCTTCTATTTCATTCTCCAAGTAAGACAGGTCTTTAGTGAGGCCTGGGGAAAACCAATACAAACTAGTTTCTTTGGCACACAAGCATGTTAAAAAATCGTACCCAATGCGCTAGGCTCCTTTCTGTAGCAGAATAAGCGGTAGGCAGCCGTAACCCCCCCCCCCCC